CGGACCCCAAGGACACAGCTGTGCCCTGACCCCAGCCCCACAGGAGGATGTGGGCTCCACCTGCACCCTGATCAAACTGTTCCCCCCTTTCCATGGCTCAGGGATGTCCTGGGCTGCCCTGGGCTTTGGGGGGTCCCCACCCACCCCTCCCCACCCTGCTGCTGATGTCTCACCACTGAAGTGCCCGTCCGGCAGCGTTGGCACCACGTCCTCCCACAGCCCCCTCAGGGGCACCACCTGCGGGTGGGGGGCACAGGGGTGAGCTGGGGGGGTCATAGGCACCCCCCAACCCTGGCACAGCCCACCCTGCCCCTGACCTTGTGTGGCTGTGCCTTGGCCCACTGCTCCAGGCGCCGGAAAACGCCCTCGTTGCACTCGATGATCCAATGCTCCTCGATGTCGAATTCCTGCACCTTGGAGGCGGCGATGGCCATCCCGAACCCCACCTCGAGCACGCGGCCGCCTGTGGATGGAACCCAGAGCTCACAGCTCTGAGTTTTCTCTGCCTCAAACCCCCCCACCAGCCCTGAATTCTGACCCATTCTTTCCCCAGATTGGGCTCTTTGCGTCCAGGTTGGGAGCACGTGGTGCTGCTGGCACTGAGGGGAGAAGGTGGGAGCAGCCCCATGTCCCTGCCACCTTTGCCCCCACTAAACCCGCCAGTTGATCCCAATGGGAACAAACAACATCCAACCCTCCCTCTGCCAGGGAAACAACCCCAAAATCAGCAGGGCGTGGATGGGAGGTGGCTGCATCCCTTCCCCATGTCCCCATCCCCTTTCAAGAATGCATCACCCTGACACAAGTCACAAGTCCCACCGCGGCCCTGCTGCCCCCGTCACTGCAGGGGGGGCACATTCAGTGACCAGCAGAACATCTCCCCCCACACCAGTTCTTTTTGGGGAGGCTGCACCCCCAGCACATCCTGGAGCCCGTGGGGTCCCCGTTACCCTTTGACGCAGCCACGGTGGCCAGCGAGTGCATGTAGGGAGTCTCCCAGCGCTCCATCACCGGCTTGCCCAGGATCTCCAGGTGGGCATCGGGCTCATCGTAGCCCGCTGTGGCTTCCCTCCAGGCCGCCCTGCAATCCTCGCCCTCGGCGAAGATCGGCCCTGCCGCTGCTCCAGAGCTCATGGCTGCAGGAGGAAAGTCCAGCTGGACGGGCCGAGACTGCCAGGGGAGGAGGGAAAGAAAGGGCCACTGGGCTCTTGGCCGGCTTTAAATAGCCCTGCTGGAAAGTGCTGAGTGTGCACAAGCGGCTGGGGCCCCTCCAGGGATCGGGAGCCCTTATCGGGAATGGGAGCCCTTATCGGGAACGGGGCACCACGGGGCAGCCAGAGCTGCCAGCCCCGAGTGGGCACACGTGGCCTGGGGGTCACTGCCGTGATCTGGGGGGTGCCGAGGATGTCCCAGCTCCCGCTGGCACCGTGCTGCGAATGACCAGCACTGCTGAGTGGTGGAGCAGGGCTGGATCAGGGGGGACGTGAAGGGAGGGGTTTTCCCTGTGCAAGGGACTGTGTCCCCCCTCCTGGGGCTGCACACCAGGACTGTGCCCCACACTGTCGCACAGCAGGCTGCCAGCCCCACTTCGCAGCACACCCGTGCCATGCACAGCGCTCTGCGTGCCAGTGCTGGACCGTAAGGCACGGAGGGAGGGTCCCGGGGGGCTGCAGGCGGTGCTCAGCCCGGCGATGGGCAGTGGGACCCTGCGCTTAGGCAATGGGACCCCCCAGGGAGTGGGCGATAGGCCCCCGGGGGTGGGCAGTGGGACCCCATGGGAGGGCAGTAGGACACCCGGG